GGCTGACCCCAGAGATTCTGAGTAGGTGGTCTGGGGCGGAACTTAGGTCTCTTTTGGAGAGCTGTGGATGGGGGCAGCCTGCAAGGCTTCTTCTAGCTCAGCCCAGAATCCTGACTCTGTTTCTCCTATGTCGCAGTGTCTTACCTGAACCCTGGTATCATCTTGGCAAAGCCGATGACCTTTTGGATGCTGTAACTGACCAGGTCAGCCAGGTGGGGCAGCATGGAGAGCTGGGACAGGCCTAGAGTCATCGAAGAGTCATCAGAATCGTCTCTGCTCAGGTCCAAGCTGGAGAAGCTAGGCGGCCCCATCAGGTCTGAGGAAGAGTGAGGTAAGAGAAGGAACCATGCACAGATATTCAAGGACTTAAGGATACTCAGGTCTCCTTCTGCCCGGCCCCATGAGGACCTCCTGGGACTGTTTCTCTCCAGAGGGCCACTGCTCAGGCCCCGGCTTCCTCTGAGAGGCCTCTGCGCTCTTCTGTCAGCAGCGCTGGGGCACTAAGCTCCCACAGCAGAGACCCTCAGAGAAAGGATCGTTCCGAAAGCCTCAACTGAACCTTGACTCCCGGGCTCTCCCGGATGACTGCAAACCACAAACAAATTTGGGACTCCTGAGCTTGTGAGGGGGATGCTCAACCTTGCTAATGACCCAGGGCATGCCAACTAGGACATCCACGTGCTTCTCCTCCAAACAGACACACATTCCCACTCCAAGCGGGTCTATAGGTCAGCGTGGAAATGTAAAGACAGAGCCGAACGGAAAGGGCTTCCTTGTTGTGGTAGTTATATAATCGTCTGTCAATTTGAGGATTAAGGGTGAAGGGGTGGAGTCTAGCCTGTCAATCAAGATATAACCAATGAGGCCTCTGTGTGGGCATGGCCTTCTCCGGATAATTCTGGGAACTCTTGTATTTCCTCCTTGGAGGCAGCAGACCTCTTTCTCTGCTCACTCCCTGAGATGGCACTCTACTGACAAGACACATGGCACTATGCCCTGGGAGCTGGAGAAGCCACATGGACCTACCCTAATGCAACCAGGCCTCTGGAGCCTGAAAAACCACATGGAGACCCCTGCCAGCATTGCGATGCTTAAAATGCCACAGGATCCAAAAGACTTCCAACCCACTGGCCTGTGATCTTCCTGCAATACAGCGTCATTGCATGTGATTCGGGAGTCTGAAGAGGACTTTATAGATTGGTATCGGACATCAGACTTGATCTGAACTGGGTTGGGACACTTTCTCAATGTCCAATTACCCTTTATATAAATCAAGCTCTTTCCTATAGACAGATGAGTTTCTAAGGATTTGTTTCTCTAGTCCACCCGGGCTGACACACATCTGATTAGTTGGCAAGACTGCCGCATCTTCTGATTAGTGGGCAAGTGCTAAACCAGGGCCCCTGGAACTGGAAACACATATGCTTAAACGGTGATGCCACTCAAGATGCGGGCAGGAGGCACCCTCTGCGGGGCTGGCGTCCTGACAGAGATGCAAACTGGGCCAGCTAGCTAGAAAAAGACTTGACAACAGGGCTCAGACACCTACAACAGTCTGGTCTCTGAATGCCCACTTCTGCAAACTCAGCAGATGAGAAAAAACCAGCATCTATGCAAACAGTTAGCCGCATGCACACCAGGACACTCACAAACAGCCTAGAGATCTGGCGATGGAAAACGGAGATGGGTCCTTGAACATGCATGCCCCGGCACACTAGGCAGTCGCCAAGCATGCTATGCCAGGGGGGACACTGAATGACGTGGGGCTCTGCCACCGTCACGCGAGGAAAGTGTTAACAGATGGCATTGCACACCACTCCAATTCCGAGTATGTACATGGCATGTGCTGAAGAGTATGGGCAAGAGATGCCCCTACCACAGGTGAGCTTTCAGACCAAGGGGCCACAGGGGACTCAAGTTATGGAGCCAGAGACACATAGAAAGATCTCTGAGTGTGTGTGCGTGTGTGTACATATGTATGCTTCTAAGTGTATATGTGTGAGTACATATATATACACAGACACATGCGCAGTATACATGGATACATCTATGTGAGGATACACACAGAGAGGTCTATGTATAAATGTATATGATAGATACACATATATTGGTAGATACCTAGGACTATATATATATATATAGATAGATAGATAGATCTATATCTATATATATATATGAATTTCAGAAAGTTTGTGGGGAAAGTCTTTTATCTTTGAAGTTCAGTTTTCCATGAACTTCCTGAAGCCTGCTTGTCGTGCTGTATTATATATTTATTTGGTTTTTGTTTTTTGAATACCCAGCATGAGCATGTAAGACTTTAGTCTAAACATTTCAAAATGAAAACAGACACTGTTTGAATCCTCACATAAATCTAGTAGAACCTGTGTGAGCCAGGGTTTAACTGGGTAAGGTGGAAGCCTGTCAGGGAAGGAAAACCCAGGTAGGGCTTTCCACTTGGGAGCTATGAGGAGGCTGCCCTCGGCCACAGGTGGAAAGTCGTGAGTCCTGGAGAAATCAGGCTGTCCCGGTGAATTCATTTTAGTTCTTGTGGGTTTCATTCCGTATGCCTGCTGAGCACACCACCGGTGGGCGGGCGCCCTTCAAATGAATTAACTTCTGTTATTAGGAGCCCTGGTGGGGTAGTGGTTATGTGTTGGCCTGCTAACCACAAGGTTGGCAGTTGGAAACCACTCAGTGAGAGAAAGAGGAGGCGTTCTACTCCCGTAAAGAGTGACCGTCTCAGAAACTCACTGGGCAGTTCTCCCCTGTCCGGCAGGGTCCCCGGGAGCCGGCATGGCTGTTGCAGGCCACTGAATGCTTCCAACTCCAGTTGGCAGCTCTAGGGGACAGAGTAGAACTGCCTCCTAAGGACAGTTCCTCAGGCTAAACTGTATGCAAGCAGATCACCAGGTCTCTTCCAGGGAAGCAGCGGGTGGGTTTGACTCTCCGACATTCCAGTGAGCAGCCAAGCCCTTAGCCATTGCTGCCAGGACTCCTCCAGGGACAGGGACGGACCAGCAGAACGCCTGAATAAGAGGGAATGCTTTCCAACAGCCAAGCCACAGAGCCACGTAGAAGTCATCCAGACTGACTCCCACCTGCTCCAGGTGAGCAGAGGGCAGGCAGGTGGCCAGAGAGCACTTATGCTTGGGCTTGTTTCCCTACGAAGGGAAGAGCATGCATGGAGGGCCCGGTCCACCCAAGCAAGGGCCAGTGCGAATTAGGCCCTCTCTCTAGAGACCTCAGGGGAGGGGGAGGGGTGGGGGCGCAGACCCCATGCTTGGCTCCCCGCTGTCCCCATCCATCAGCTATCCTGGATTTGCAGGCTGAGTTTGAAGGGACTGCATCCCAGGATGCTGGTCACTGGAGACAGAGGCAGCGGACCTTCCCATCCTTGCCCTCCTGCCGAGCCCCAGCAGGGGGCAGCAAGGGTGGGGCAAGGCCCCAGGCCCAGAAGACAAGGAAGGGCAGGCAGAAGCCCCAGGGAGGACCAAGAGGAAGGCAGGAAGGGGCCGAGAAGACAAGCCCAACCAACAGCAGCTGGACTCGGTGAGCCAGAAGTGCCAGGCCCTCATTGCCACCGGGTCCCGGACAACTTAAACTCAACGCTGCAGATAGGGGCCAGGCCCCGCTGGGGAGGGGCCTGCCTGAGAGAACAGACCACTGCTTCTTCCCAGCACAGGAGCTTGGGCAAGTCGTCTTTCCAAACCCTCACCACCCCCACCCCGCCACAGACACACGCAGAGTTTGAGAAAGAGGGGCTCCTCTGAGAACACGCCGTGTCACCTCTGAGCCACTCACGTTAGGAGGCCCTCTCCTTCCTGGCAGCTCAGGGCCAGTAGGCCCAGGGAGCCAAAGGCTTCTCTCCCCCGCTGGGTGGTAAGGAGCCCTCCTCCTTACCTGGCGAGGCGGAGTAGTGGTCCGAGGAGGAGGAGTCTCCCGAGAAGCTGGGGGTCTCTGGTGAGGAGGAGCTGGAGGGGCGGCTCTCTTCATGGTCTTCCCCGTGAATGGGAGGCTAGAAGGAAAGCAGACGGGTGTCAGGTGCGACGCTGGCATTTCAGGACCCCTTCCTGCCTGGTCCCTGATCTCGGGCAGGAATGGCTTGGGTGGGGGTGGGGACTGGGTGGGGGGGGCAGTGGGTGACAATAGGAAGTTCTCCAGAGTCAGGCCACCTCTCCCCTTCTGGTTCTGCGCCAGGAGCCCCCCCACCCCACCCTGGGTGCCCCCTGCCCTTTGCGGCTCTGGGCCATGCTGGTGGGCGGGGGTTACGCGCACCCGGAACTGGCTGAAGTCGGCGTAGGTGGGGTCGTAGGTCTTGTGGTGGGCATCCAGCAGGATGGCGATGATGCGCTGCTGCTCCTCTGACAGCCGGGGCCGCAGGCTGTCCTTCAGCGCCTCCTCCTCCTTCCGCTTCAGCACCATCTCCCGCTTCCGCTGCACCTCCTCGTCCGTCAGGATGACTGTGGGCCGACCGGGGAGGCGGAAGGTGAGCCCACAGAAGGGGGTGGGGTGACCCCCTCACACTGGAGGACCTAGGCCAAGCCGGCTCCCTGAGTCTTCCAGCCCCATGGGTGGGAGCCAAGGAGGCTGCCCAACAGCTGGGGTCTCTGGGTTCTCAAGACCAAGTTGGACCAGCTGTTGACGCCCTCCGGACCTTTGTCCTTATAAAACGAGAGGCTGGTGCTGTAAATTGGTGTGTGTGTGTGTGTGTGTAGGTGCCTGGCTGCCACTGAGTTGGGGCGGTTATCTGTGTAGGTGGGTGGTTACCTCGACCTCGCACGGGTGACTCTTGTGAGAACAGAATCCAGGTCCAGCACAGAGCGGATGCTCAAAGCCCATTCGTTCTCCTCTCTTCCTCCTCCCACTCCCCAGGCCACCCCCGCTTCCCTGACCCTGGTGGAGACATCAGGCGAGAGTTGCAGAAAAAGTGTGTGGACATTCCCAGCACTGGTTGCTGGGAAATGCTATGGGGCGTCTCCACACACAGAATGCAGGCATCTGATCTGCTGACCAAGGCAGAGAGACGTGGCCTCTTGGGGTCCCTGGGAAACAGCTACTCGACATCTCTGTCGTCACAGCCACTTGACATCCCCCGTTCTGACGTTTGAGACCTAACCCGAGAAGTTCTCCAGATGCTAGTCTGGGTATCCAGCCCTGGGGAGACCCCACGCCACCTCGGGCTCATGGTGCGGGGGCTTCTGGGATGTCGCTGCCTTACTTCACTGGGCGGCTGCCCGGGAGGGTGGAGGCCGGGAGCAGGGATGCCTGGCACAGCAGCCGGGCAAACAGACCTCATGGCTGGGGCTTGCAGAGCGCTGGCGGCAGGAGTGGGCACTGGAGCCCTGGCCTGTAGCTACTTGCTCTGTGCTGGCGCTGCCAGGGCATCTGCCCACAGCATGGCGAATTTCACAAGAGCAGGGAAAGGAACCAGAGCCCTAGAGGGGTTGGGTTCTGGGCTTTCAGAAAGGCGCATTTGGATGTCCTCAGGTCTGTAGAGGACCAGAGGCCAGTGAGGGTGAGGGAGAGCCAGCCAATGGGAGATGGAAGTGGGTAACCAGAGCCACGGGTACATCAGAAAAGGGGAGCCCGGGGCGGAAGATGGAGTGTTCCCTGCACAGTTGAGGTAAGCCAGACCATGAGCAGGGCTGGGAGGAGACCACACCCAGCTATTGACTCACCTGCCCCAGGAGCTGCCAACCCTCCTCCCATTGAGGGTGTCTGCTCAGAACCTCAAAGGTCAAGCAAGGTGGGAGAGGAAGGAGCAGGGAGCACCCAGGAAGGCCGTGTGCAAGGCCCCCGCCTGGGGAGCCCAAGAGTCGGTGTCTGGTCTTTCCTGCTTGCCCGGGTCAGTGTGGGCGGGGTGAGGAGCTGACACAGCCTTCCAAGACAGTGACTTTCACCCCCTGTGACTCTGTGGCATCGTTCTCACCCAGAACCTTTCCCAGCTCCCCACCACTTAGCCGGTCGCAGTCAACGCAGAGGTTTGCCACGGTACGACTTGGCCTCTGCCGAACCTTCGCCCCATGTCCCAATGCCTCTGGACACGGCTTCTGCTTGACTTGAGTTGATGTCGCTGAGCGCTGAACACAATGAGCTGCTTCTGCTTTGCTCGCTGGGCTTCTCCTGGTGCTGAACGTCTCTCCCTCTGGTCCTCTCTCTCCCACCCCCACAACCCACCAGGCTTCTTTGACCAGGAAGCCTTTCTGATTCTCCCTGAGCTACACAGGTCTCTCATTTCTTATTCCGGTGGCACATCCGGTCTTTCCCATACATGTTGGCACCCAAGTATGCTAGCCTCCGTAAGACTTACTGCTGTTTCTAATAAATGCCTCCAGCCAGAGCTTCGCAAGTTCAAGATCCGCTAGACTGTCGGCTATTGGAGGGCAGGGCCTGCTTTTTTCCACAGAGGCCAGCCTGACGGGGGCTTCCTGGCCGTGGTTGGTGCTTGCTCAGAAGTCTGATGGAGGGATTATACTGTTAGCAAGTCACTGTCTCAGGAAAGGATACCGAGGTGTTCATATGCCCCACTTGGTTGGGAACGGCGCACCCTACCCGCCCGCTGGCTAGAGAACTGAGCAAGGCTGTAGCATTGCCGCAAGCTGCCACTAGTTGGCCCCCAACTCACGGCTGCCCCTTGTGTTACAGGGTAGCATGCATGGTCCCCTCTGGTTTCCTTGGCTTTAATCTTTAAGGAAGCGGATCTAGGCCTTTTTCTGCAGCGAGGTTGGGTGGGTCTCAGCCATGCACCTTTAGATCAGCAGCTTGCTCTACCCAGCACCCTTACTTCTTCAGTTCTAAGAACTTGGATGGAAATATTTTCAACACAAATTCCCTCCTCAGGGATCACTTGTCATCTCATGCAGCCTTCGCTTGGTGGTTCACAGGCATGGCGGGCTGTGTCCTGCAGCCGGGGCGCAGCCGGCCATGTTCTGGAGTTCTTGTGCTGTGAGATCTCTCCCTCTCTGTAAAAGTGTGTTGTCTCTTTGACTGGTTGGTGCCCCCCTCTCCAAGTCTCTCTCTCCCCCTGTTACAGATTGAATTATGTGTTGTGAATGCTAACCCCACCTCTTGGCCTCTGGTGACAATCCCATTTGGGAATGGGTTGTCTTTGTGAAATTAATGAGGTGGGATTAGTGGAGGGTGTATCTTCAGTCCATCTCTTTTGAGATAGAGAAAAGACTAAATCAAGCAAGCAGGAAGAAAGGCAGATGTCAAGACACAGGGCGAGCGTTTAAGGACCTGGGAAGCGGAACGGGAAGCACCCCTGAGTTTGGGGTGGGGCGCTAAGCAAACTAGAACACGGCTGAGAAGGTTTCGTGGCTCCCTCCCGAGTTCCTTGCTGAGAGTAAGCCATCCCCACACAAGACACGCTCTCTGCCCCCAGGAAGCCGGCTGGGATGGAAATGGGGAGTCCAGATCTGACAACATGAGAGAACGTCACTGTTCGTGACATCGGCCCTGGTTGAAGGACAACAGGGGAGAGGACAGAGGACTTGCCCAGAGGCGAGATCAGGTTTGAGGGGTTCAACTGATGAAGTGGAGAGGATCCCGCAGGGAACCAAGAGTCGTTCATGCAACACAGGGAGGGAGAGAGACATTTCTAAGTAGCACAGGCACAGAACTGGCAAGAAGTAGAAACTCAACCATAAACTGCCTTGGGCTTTAAGGGCCTTGAAGAGAGAGAAAAGGCCTCTTCAACGGGCACACAGTTCTCTTCCCCGTCTCCCACAGGGCCCAGGAAGTGCCTGGGAATGAACATTGGGTGGCTCTGCCAAGTGGTGGTGCCTCAGGCGCTTCCCTAGGGTGGAGCCCACAGCTTGACCTTTGGGAGCACCCAGTAGGGTCTTTGGGAGAGGATGTGGACGGCCATCATCTTGTTGCTGTTGTTAGCTGATGTCTACTTGGCCTGGACTCAGAAGGACTGGACCATCATGTTCCTAGAGTTTTCATTAGCTGCTTCTTGGAAGGGCTTGTCCTGGGCCACCTCAGTCTGCAAGCCTCTCTGAAATTAATCTGCATCCTAGCTACGCTCACACCTCCAGGGACAGCTAGGGGGTGGCTAAGCAGAAGTTGCATTGGCCGGAAACTGAACTCCAGTGAATTCTACCCCTGACCAACCCCTGCCTCTTCTGATGCGTGGAGGTGCGGGATTCTCATCCCTCGGAGCATGCCTTTTCTCTTCTACTGAAAGTGGACATGCTTAGGGCTTCTTGTGGAAACTGAACAAGAAAATCCCTCTGCTCGGCCCAGGACCTAGGGACCCTAAAGGAGCGGCGGTTCAAGTGCCCAACTGCTGATCAAATGGTCAGCGGTTCAAACCCACCAGCTGCTGCATGAGAGAAAGACGATGCTGTCTGTTTCCATCAGGACTCACAGCCTCAGGAATTCTATGGGGATGGTCCCACCCTGCCCCACGGGGTCACTATGAGTTAGCACCCTCTGGGCGGCAGTGGTTCAGTCAAGTATCTGACGGACAATCGGGCCTGTGAGCCCTGCCTGGTGTCACTGTTGGGTAAGTGTTGGACTGCTAGAATACCTTCCTCCGTCTGTCTTCTTAAACTTGGGATAGACTGGGGCACGGGAGGGCCATCGGTGACTGTGGCCTTGACCAGAACAGCCACGGTGGAGCCTGGCTCTCGCCCAACCATGGGAATCCACGCTCTTCTCCCTGGCTCCCCGCCGAGTGGTGGCCCTGAGCTCCTGGGGGCAGGGCTGTGCGGGCCTGCATCTGGCTCGTGTAGACCCCACTGAGTGAGTGTGTGAGCTATCCCAAAGGCTCCCAGGCCTCAACCTCCACTTCCCGCAGGATAAACACAGTCGGGTGGAGCTGGGGCCTGGGCTAGAGGATCAGCGTGCCCGGGCCTGCTTGCTCCTGTGGGGCCGGGAAGGAACATTGCCTGGGCCCATCTTCCCATGTTGGCGGGCTCAGAGTGAGGGGCTGGGACCCACCAGGGGAGCCTTGGTCCAGGCCAAGGGGCAGCTCTGGGCATTGAAGTTCAGCTCTGTGGTGAGGACCAGATCTTTTGTCTCTCTCTCCTGACACCAGAGATATTTCCCTCCAGGGAAGAAGTCTCCCATCCCCATCCCTACCCTCCTTGCACCTCCTAAAAAAGCGGTCATATAGCCAGGAGGACCTCCAGGGGTACCTCTATTTGAGCACCCCCTCCTGGGACCTCCTTGAGCCTGCAGCTTGGCAGGGCATCGGCTCTCCCTCTGCCTCGGGCGGTGAAAGGGGCTAGAGTGTGGGTGGCAGACAAACAGGAGCTGCAGGTGCAGAAGGTGTCGGAGCTCAGGCTGCCCAGCACCCTACCCCGAGCCCAGGAAGGGCTTGGCCAGCTCCTCCCAGCATCTGCTGAACTCACTGGCCACTCCAGTTACCAAGTAACTGGCACCAGAGCTGGGGCAGATGCAAAGTCCAGGGGTTATTTTTAACTGAGGGTCAGAGCACTGCTGTAACTCTGCCCAGTCGGTATGCTCCTCCACGCCCAGAACTGGAGAGGAAGTGAGTCCCGCGGGTCACTTCTCTTTCCCCATGGGCATCCAGAGGGTCACCCTAGCCCTCAGTGCTTCTCCCTGCGCCCGCCCCCCACCCCCCAACCTTCTCACACGGTCCCCCAGGTGTCAATCTGCAGACGGCCGGCAGGCTGGTGTGGGTGGGTGTAGGGTGAGTGGGGTGGGCAGAGTGTGGAAGGCAGCTAACCTCTGAATATTTATTTTCCATGGTCGCCATGCCCGCCTCACCCAGAGCAGCCCTCTCCCCAAAGCCGCAGCCCTAAGATCTCAGGGGTGCAGGAGCCACATCCCAGCCTGCAGGGAGCTGTCACAGTAGTCACGATGCTCTGGAAGGACTCTACCTGGGAGGGATGGTTGAAGGTGGCGCCCTCCTCGTCCTACCTGCAGAAAGGACTTTGGAGGGGCCCTCCAGCCTCTGGGGCAAATCAATAGATTCTCAAGAGGTGCAAGCCCACCCACGGGTGCCCTAAAAACAAACATCGCCACTGAAAACCCCAAGGGGCCCTTGGGATGGTGTGCAATCAGCTGCTAATCTCAAGGCTGCTGGTTCAAGGCCACCCAACATCTCTGGTGGAGAAGGAGGGCAGGGCGAGCTGCATCCAGGGATACAAGAGCCACGGGAGCCTGGTTGTGCACCGGGTTCCACTCTGCAAGTGTGGGGGTGCCAGAAGTCAGGGCCGAACACGGGAAACAGCCACTGGGGGCTCTTCTGCTCAGACCCAGGACGGGCAGGTCCCCGGGAGTCAGAATCAACTCTGGCGCAGGCAGCTCATCCGGTGTTCCAGAGGACCCAGCACTCTGGCTCCCTGCTCCGGGCCGCCCATCCCATCCCATGTCCGCCCCTTGGACCCCCACTCCCGGTAGCTCCAGAGGAAGAGCAGGCTGCCCTCTCTGGCCATGCTGGAAGCAATCACACCAGAGCCTCTCCCCGACATCCACCCCACCCCGCCCCGCCCACCAACCCCAACACTCACACTCCTTCATCATGCCGATGTCCACACAGCGCTTGAGGCGGCAGGCCTGGCAGTGGCGCCGGTTGTCCTTGGTGATGCGGCAGTCCCCGTTAAAGGGGCAGGTGAACAGGGCCTTCCGCTTCATGCTTCGCCTGCCCAGAGGGAAAGTGAGAGCGCATGCACATGTCCCTTTCGCCCTGGACGCCAGCCTCCCGGCCCCAGCCCTGGGAGCAGGAGGAATGGCCAGGAAGACCCGCCCAGGAGCAGGTGCCAGGGAGCCGGCGGAAGAGCCCTCAAACATCCCTAGCTCCTAGAAAGGGGGGGGATGCCAGCCACGGGCCACTTGGAGGGATAGCCCCTCTCTGGAGGCCCACGCCATAGGCCGTGCGCCTGATGGCTGTCCTCCCGGCGGTCCTTGCCTGCGGCTCCCCGGGCTGTGACTGGTAGCTGTCCTTCTCTTCCTTTGGAACAAGGCACGAGCTGCTTCAGCACTCTCCCTGTGGACACTCCCCAGACATTCATTCCGCGTGTTGTGTCCTTTGTCATCATTGACCCCACCCTTTCCCATCACCTTCAGCAGAAGCTCTGTGTCACCCTCCTCCCCTCCTCCTGCCCCCTCCCCGCCCCCGCTGGTTTTATTTGCTGGTACAGCACTCTGCTCCCCCTATTCTTAAGCACACCAGAAACAGATGTGTCAAGTGTTTGTAGTTAAGAGTAGCCTTCCCCGCTTGTCGGTAGCCATTCTCCAGTCTCGGCTTTAAGGGCGGAGCCCACAGCGCTGCCACGGGAACACCCCTGGCCCGGGGACAGACGTGCACAGCTACACAGAGAGGGAGGTAGGGCCCAGACCACAGCTCCTGACACCCGTCCAGACTGCGGGTCCAGAAAGGGAAGTGGCCAGACCTGAGGTGGGAGCCCAGAGGCCTGACCTTGGTCTCGTGAGCAGAGGACACAGCGGGGCCCAGAGCGGAAAGACACCAAAGGGGTCTCAGCAAGGCAGCCCGTACCCTCGGACACCCGAGTCTGCTTGTGCGCGTGCAAATGAAGACGGGTGTGTGTGCTTCAGGAAGTCCATGGAGACGTGGAATGGGAAGATGCTAGCACTTCCCCCATGAGCGTCTGGAAGCCCTCTCGTGTGTGTGTTTGTGTGTGTGTATGTGTGTGTGTGTGTTGTAATCGTCATATGTCCAGTGTGCATGTGCTAGCCCAAGAGCTCATTTGCTGGGAGAAGAAGGTTTTCAACAGGGTCCAAGCCTTCCAGCAGACTCAGAGCCCCTCCTCCCTCCCCTGGCTTCACCCCGTGTGTGTGTGTGTGTGTGTGTGTGTGTGTGTGTGTGTTGTAATCGTCATATGTCCGGTGTGCATGTGTTAGCCCAAGAGCTCATTTGCTGGGAGAAGAAGGTTTTCAACAGGGTCCAAGTCTTCCAGCAGACTCAGAGCCCCTGCTCCCTCCACTGGCTTCACCCCTCACCTCCTCGCAGCGGCTCGTACCCCTCTCTCAGAGCTCCATGCTCCGTCCCAATTCGGGACGTCTCCCCTGCCGCCAGAGCCTTGTCACACGGAGCCTTGGGAGGGTGGTTTCCTCCAAAGGCTTTACATCATCCATGTCTCAGAAGTCACTTGTCATCCCTCCCAGGCCAGCCGGGGGGAGTCAGCTGCCAGGGCTAGCATCCAGCTCAGGGTGGCCCCACGTACACTGTGCTCCGGGGGTTTTTCCAAGGCCCATGCTTCACAAGTCCCTCTCCAGAATTTTCTTCTGGGGGGCCTCTAGATGGGCTCAGAAACATAAACCCATTTGAGCTCACTGCCCTTGAATGGAGAGCAGGAACAACGTACTGTCCCTTCTGGCAGGGGCTTAGCGGGGCCGGAAGAGAGTTGCAGAATCACTGAGCCTGGGCTCAGAGGCCAAGACTCCGCCCGCCCCTTCCCCTCCTGACGATAAGCCAGTGATATCACTTCCAGATGTCAGGGCTTGGTTCTGATTCTTGGTAAGAGAATGACTCATGGCTCACGATGACAGGAACGCGCGCAGTGTGAGACCAGCACACTCATCAGTTCGCATACTTGTTCCAGCTAAAGGACAGATGGGAGTCAAAGGACCCGAGGCAGGGGAAGAGGCAGGAGCCGAGCAGAGAACATGGCCAGGCAGCCACGGGACACCCAAGAGGCCACGAGTGTAACCCCCCTCATTTAATAGACATGACCGCTGAGACGGAAACACCTATCAGCAAGGAGATTCAGTCAGACGTGAAGGCTCTGGAGGTCAGCTTCTCCCTTCCTGGACTGAACACACGGTGACCTTATCTCGGGAGAGACCTGGTGCCCAGAAACCGAGCCCACCGACCAAAGGCCCCGGGCGGCTGCTCCTACTCCCGGGGCATGGCTCCGGGGAAGCCTGACCTCCGTGGCCCAGGAAGTAGCTGCTGCTGGTGTTGGCCCTTGGCCTCTGGAGCCCATCTGCCACGGCCCTCACTACCCCAGGAGTCCCCAGAAGACCCAGGGTCACAAGGGGAGATGCAGGCTGTTACAGGCAGTTCTGCTCCCTGCCCGACCTGCCGAAGGCCCAGCCCTGCCTTTGCAGTAACAACCCCATGGGAGAAGGCATGGCCCACCCTGATCGAAACAAGAGTCTGTACACCCCTGCAGCGACTATCTAGAGGGGCGGGGTGGGGGTGGGGAGATGGATATGCCTCAGGGCTTGTGAGGGCTACCCAGTAATGAGACGGGCCATAGCCACGGTCAGATCGTGTTATCCCAGGACGTGAGCGTGGCTTCCAAACTCTTTGTGGTTCTCAAGTGTCCACCAGTGAGCACAGATGCTCCGGCCCAGAAAGCCCGTCATTCCTTGAACCTACTGGAAGCTTCTAATTCCGAGTAAACGCTCCTTTTCTTCTTCTTCTTCTTTTTCTTCTTCTCCTCCTCCTCCTCCTCCTCCTCCTCCTTCTTCTATTTTTACTCAAACAATTAGGCATTTTGCCCAGAGGCTGAGGGGCTGTGCTGTCCTACCCTGGGGCTTGTCTGGTCATATCCTTTCCCCAGGAAATGGCTGGTGTGTTTGAAGCACCCACCAAGGGCTTAACCATGCTGCCACCAGGACTCCGTAGAGCTTTAAGCTCTAGTATTATTAACAATCGAGTGGCCGACTCACCCTGGACTCCTCTGAGCAGAGAGTGAGAAGGACCCAAAATACACCGGATCGATTCACTTCTGACTCGGCTCCTCCCTGCAGGACAGGGAAGAAGGGCACTTCTGGGGTTCACAGGCAGCGAATGAATATTACAGGAGTAGACAGCCCGGTGGGTTCGAATGGAAGCCCCATGCTTTTCCCACCGAGCCACGAGGCGTCCTGCATTACAGCTGGGAAGATGGAGGTGGAACATTCCGAAGAATGCCTAGGGTGTGGGGTCAGGCTCAGGGTGTGGAGAGGCTTTCTGGACGATTCCAATAGCCAGCCCAGGTCTTCCTGGAACCTGTGCCCTGAGCTGGCCTTTCAGGTGGGTCTGACTCAGCCACCGGCCCGATGGGCTCACAGTCCCTGTTCTTCTGCCCTCTGAGATGACCTCTCCACGCATGGCTGTCATCTAGCTGCTGCCCACGAGGAGTCAGGGCCGCCAAACTGCCCATCCCTGGCTCTAGGCTTTGTCCCAGACATCCACACCCGCTCTGCCATCCTCCCAGCGCTAATTGCCTGGGAGCTGGTTGGGTTTGGAGAAACAGGAGGCCCGGGTTTCCATGGGAGCCCATTGCCTCAGCTGCTCCTTCTCAGCCTAGACCCTATAATCCACTGCATGGTTAGAAATTATACCCCGGCTCAGGAAAGGGGGTAGGGGTGGTGCAACCAGGCTAAATATAGACACAGTTTCTAGAAAGCCAAGGGTGAGAGAGGACATTGACCATTCTCTTGCCAGAGACCAATCCATCCAAAGAGGAAAGAGACAGAGAAGCTCACAGAGCCTCAGTGCCTCAGGCCCTTCTGGATCCGCCCACCAGAACCAGGTCTTATATAACCCGGGGGGTGGGGATGGGTGGCATACACCCCCTTCCTGGGCTTTGTCTCCACCACAGTTCTGAGCATCACAGAGAAGCCAGGGCCTGGTGCGGATACAGGAGCGTGGGGGAGCTGCCCACAGGACAGAACAAAGTCATCTGAGAGGTGGGGCCTCCGTGGCCCATATATACGTGGCCGCATCAAGAGGGTCTTGGCACATGGGTTTCAGAGACGTGACCTTGAAAGGTCAGTGAACACTAGTCAAGAGTACAGGGCTTTTCTTCTATTCTTTTTCTCAGGGCAGTTTGACACTCTCCACTAACCCATTGGGAGTCCAAAAGGAGCCCTGGTGGCATAAGGGGCTACAAAATGGGCTGCTAGCTGCAAAGTTCGAATCCACCAGCCTCTCCGGGGGAGAAAGAGAGGTCCTCTGCCCCCATAAAGATTCACAGCCTCGGAAACCCTAGGGCACAGTTCTACCCGGCTCCGCCTGCCCGAATGGACCCTCTGGCCGTGGGCTAAGTTTTGGTAGGCGTCTCAAAGGTTAACTGCCATTAGAGAGGCTGGAGGTTCCACAATTCCCCTGGCAATCTGCTTCCCCAAAGTCAGCCTTTGAAACCCCCACGGAGCACAGGTCTGCTCTGACACACGCGGCATCTGGACTAGGCAGAAGCCGCTCCATGGCAGCTGCTTCCCATCAGCATAGCACAGGACAGTATGGCAGGCTGCACTGGATGTGAATCCAAGCCCAGGTGAGGAGGCACTACAGAACGGACCCAGCAGCACTGGTCTCAAGGATGCCAAGAGCATGATGGTGGTACAGGAAGCTCTCCACAGGTTCACCAGGGGATGGCGCCCACTCCAGGGCAACTACAACCCCCCCAACATCATGAGTCCAGGACCTCTGACGCAGCCACCTCACTTCTAGGAATGCGTTCTGTGGTCAGAACAGGCTCTGGGCCCGGAGACCAAGCACAGGGGTGGCTCCTGCAACCTTCTCTGGAGAAGCAAAAGATGTCCATCAACAGAGGGACCGTCCGGGTTTTATGATGCATCATTTTGCCCCAGGACCCATGTGCCATGTAATGAACGCTATCGGGGGAAAAGAGGAATGATGTTGGAATGGAAACAAGCTGGAAGAAATAGGATTTAGTAGATAAAAGCAGGGTGAAGGATGGCGATAATAGCATATTCCCATCTATAGACATGGGCACACGCATACACATACACACACACATATAAAGAACTGTTCACGCTGATAGTCTGTGAGGGAGGAAGTTGAGAGCGGGGGAATTGAATTGAAGAAGCCAGTGCCTTTGATATCCCGGCCCCCCTCCCCCTCTCCCACCCCTCCCCCCATCTCCCCACCCCCTCCCCTCCCCTGCCTTTGA